CGTCCCTTGCGACATCCATTGAGCTAAGGGGATGGGTTACTTCCCTGTTGAGAATTAAAGTCAAATTCCGATTTACGTTTACTATTATTATTTCTGTTATTTATTTTGACTTTGGATATTCTAGCTGTAAATCGCGTATCCAAATAATTTCGTAGTATTCATTGTCGGAGAAACCAGTCAATTTGAGTTTCTGTTGTCGTGACGGGAACGTGGAACCCAAAGTTGATATTTTACATTGTTTTTGTTCAATTTTCCTTTTTATGTGAATATTTCTTACCTCGGATTACAAACCTGTCTTCTTTGTTGAGATAGAGGAGAATTCTAGAGAAGGGGTATTGTTTCCCCTCCCAAATAGAGCCTGCTCTGGTTAGCAAGTTGCTAGCTCTTTCGAGTTTTTGAGTTTGCAATTTTGTGTTAAACCGAGAGGCGTTGGTACCTCTTATAAAACTTTTTCACTGACTGGCACCCAGACAAAATTGAAATTGTTGAATCATTATTTTTTAATTAAGAATACATTTTACTTCGTTCTATGAAGTAGTACGTCACAATTTAAATGCCAAATTACAATCTATTAAGATTTCTGACTATTTGATTTCATCGATTTTCCAATCACTGTCCCATCTCTACACTTTACTGGCGCCTTTTTCTCGCCCTTCTGACTCTTACGTTTTATAATTATAATTTTCGTTTTGGTTACGTTGATTTTTCATTAATTCTTCTCAGAATAATTTCCTATCATATGGAATGCCTTATTTAATTGTTTTTCTATACATTCTGACCTTTCCCGATCGACATAAAGTAGCATGTCATCTGCAAATACTCGGAATTCATAGTAATTAATATTATCTTTCATTACTTCATTTATATATGTCAGAAACGGAAGAGACCCAAGTATTGATCCGTGAGATATGCTTGAGAAGTGTTCTCGAAGCTCATTGATCGATGAACTACACTTTGGTTACGCCCTGTTAAGTATGATTCAAACCATTTCTAAACCTTTCCATTAATCTCATAACTTTCATCTTCGGCCATAATATATTCCTATCCACAGTCTCGAATGCTCTTTTCGAATCAATAAATATAGTCCACACAATATTTATTCTGTCAACGCTTTCTCGCCGGTTTCAAAGAAAGACCTGTACAGATTTTTCACAGGATTTGACTCCTCTGAAACCATATTGTTCTTTTATGAAAAGATTATTCGTTTCCATATAATTCATCAATTGTTTCACTCCTATATTTTCAAGATGTTTTCGTATCGGGTAACACATTTATTGCTCTGAATTCTTCGGCGCGGTTTGTTTATTGACCTTTCGTATTGGAATTATTTGTGGGTGGGTCCACTCTGTCGCTACGTACCCTTTCTGACCGTCAGAATTTTATGGGTATAAATTGTTGCCTCGATGCTGTTACTTTGGTCTAGCTCGAGAGATTCATTTCCACTAATTCATATTTTGAAAATTGTTCAAACTTGAAGGAAACTTATGCAGAATTTATAGACAATTATTTTTTAGTTTATTCAAAATTTATAAGTGAGATTACTGAAAAATTTAGAGCCACATGACCAATGTCGAGAATTGTCAATGTTATGAATTCCGAGAATTATGGGAATTATGGGAAAAACGACTGTTACACGAGTTGTTTCAGCCGAAATTCGGAGAAATCTCTCCTTTGTTTTGAGGCTCAAGCATTGTAACGCGTAGTGACTCAAGCTTGAGCAGAGTTACTTCCCGGTCGGCGTATGGTTGTGCTGAGTTTTTGAGGAGAAAACATTGGTCTCATATTTTGAGTTTAGTTTGAGTATTTCTGGCGTCCTGGTGGCTGTTCTGCCTAGTGGAAGATGTGGTGGAGCGATTGAACAGGTGGGCAGAGCCGAATATAGATATTTTTGAGGAAATATAGAGTTTTTTGATTTGGCCATTGTTGACTACGTAGTGGCGTCTCTTGTGGCGTCCTCTTGAATTGAAGGAATCTAACAATTCTCTCTGAGGCTTAAAGTCGAATTTAGGTTTAAGTTTCATATTAGTATCGCCATTATTTTGTCGTTGTGGATATGTTAGTTGGAATCACGTATCCAATAATTTGTAGTATCGGTTATCAGAAAGATTGGTCAATTTGAGTTTCTTTTGTCGTGTTAATCTCGTTTCGTCGTGACGGGAGCGCGAAAAACTCGAAAGTGACATCCTGTAATATTTTTCATTCAATTTTCTATTTTCTTGTGTGAATTACGATACTTTTATTTTTGAATTGGAAAACTCATGTCGTCATTGTTGAGATATCGTAGGGGGTATCGTTTCCCCTCCCCCATGGAAGAAGTTCAGTGGACTCTCGTAAGGAAACTGCCAGCCATTTTGAGTTTTTGAGTTTCACATTTTGAGTTAATCTGAGAGGAGTCAGTGCTTCTCACCAAATATTTGGTGCCCACGAAAAATTTCGAGTTATGGAATTTTTTTTTGAAAAGAATGGATTGGTGTTCTATGGAATATCACCTCTGATTTCTACAGTAAAATGCTTGTCCGAGCAGTTGGGAAGTTGGAAAGAACGAGCATCGAGCAACGAGATCCTTGAACAGCTGACTCACTGGTCGGTGTCCCTCGTTTGGTTCTAATTGTATTTTGTCGTGGCAAATCCACTCAGAACAGGCCCTTCACCCGACAACTCGACTTCCGTATTCTAGATCAGGAACACCTCTGGAGACCTGCTGAAGCGGTCAATCATCAACAGACAGGTGCCATATCAGCTGAACGGAATGCATTGTTCAATAATGTCCTGTAACACTTTTCCCCAACCTCGTCCCGGAGATCAGGGATAGTTATTATCTTCGCCCGTTCCCATACTCGCATTCTACTCGTCCAACCGAATAAATGCGGGCGCCAGCTAGGTTTTAATGGGCCAAAAGCTAACAAAAACCGAGAGAACCGAAACGAGGGTGAGGAGGTGGGGTGCCCTACCTCACCCGAGTCCTGGAGACCTTATGAATTCCAAAAGTATCCTAAATCTAAAAACAAGAGCATCCAGAGACAGGGCAAGTGCGGTTCAAACTCGTACTCGCGATAACACAAAATCCAAAAAAACCATAAAGTCCAAAAGAAACACGATCAGCCGGTGATCGGAAACACAACCCGCGAGAAGCTAAAACCCGGTGACAAACGGAACGGAAGCGGGAAGGCCTGGGGTCGCTCAGGTCGCTAGCTCATGGAGAGGGGGCCAGGGTCCACGAATATGCGAATCTACTAATCCGTGAGAGGAAGACCGTAAATTCTTCCGGTGCGTGGGTCGGGACGCCGAGTGCAGTTTTGCGGGAGTGCGAGGAGCGAGTACTAACCTCGAGGACCTCCTCGCCGAGATCACGACGTAAGATAGCAGAGTGCCGGGAGGCCGAGCGTGGGGAGGAACTCTCCGAAAACACACCATCAAGGGTGCGACGGGCTCACTAAATATGAAGAGCGTATCCCGGAAGGGTAGGACTGTCACCCAGGAAACGTTGCGCGAGGGGAGTATTGCTCCCACCTAGAGAACGTGAAGACCAATGCGGGGCATTGGGAGCCTACCAAGGGCTCGAGAGAGAGCTTCCAGTGGTCCGCACCGGGAGCCAGCCGAAGCGGCTCTGCCGAGTGAGTGGGCAGTCTGGGCAGTATTGCCAATGCCCCCCAGTCTCGCCTACGACTGGGCGGGCTGCCCTGTGCCAGGACGTGCTGCCCTCGCCGTCGCTTAGGTATCCGCGACAATAGCTTCTAGAGTGCGCCGAATTCAAACGTCGCCACTGACCCCTTCGGACAACCGCTCCGAATGACCAGCCGTTGAATGCCCGCCCCATCTAACATGGAGCGCTCATACGCCGGTATGAGTCCTATGCTGAATGCCAGGAAGTCTCATAGAGGAACTGGGAATCTTTCTACGTGTCTGCCCTGTGCTGGTGCCTGCCTCCAGGCCTCCTAACTCCCTAAGCACTCGGGCCCCAGTCCTCACACCTTTCGACGATTCGAAAAATTCCTGGGGAGGGTCGACATAGCAGAACTTAGTTCAAGGCATCCAAAATTGAGTTTAATGTGCGGGATTTCCTAAAATAGCGTTATAGTCCCCGTAAACGTGCTGGGGCCATTGCATGCCCCTTGGAAAATTTTTAATGGCGGTCGTCAGTTGTTCATCCTTGTTCGACGCTAGCTGATGAAGCGTCTATAAAGATGGTCTATGGGAGTGTCACGTCCGAGTAGATCAGCAGCGTGGGCTTGTGGAGCTTGTCTTTCCAGGCCGCGACAGGCCTTACGAGATGGGAATGGTTAGTTGTACCGCCCTGGGCGTACTCGTGGAAAGGAGTCTGGAACCTTGTAACCTCATTAAGAAATTTGCGGTAGAAATCGGTCATACCTAAGAACTCAGGTAGTTTCTGGATCATCCTCGAACAAGGGAAGTTGACGACTACCTCCACCTTCGTTGAAAGCACTAGAAAGCACTAGAATTCGTTGTGTAGAGATGCGATGTCCGAAAAAGTCCAGTTTCTCATTGATCGAAACCATATTTAGTCGTATTGATTACGACACCGGACTTAGAAAGTCGTTGGAAAAACGTGCGAACGTGTGTACGATGTTCCTCGATATCACGGGATGCGATTGGGATGTCGTCGATATACGGGAACATCGGGGTCGCCTAGTCTTCGTATCATTTCATCAATAAACCCTTGAAATGTTTGGGCTGAAGGTCATAAATGGAAATTAAAATAAGTCATGAGTTGTGATGATGGCCGTTTTGCTTACGTCATCCTTAGTCATCGCTATTTGGTTGCATACGAAGTTGATAGTCCAGAATATTGTCCTCCCAGCGAGATTAGCGACAAAAAGTATTAAACGGACTAGTAGCATATGGGGTAATACGGCCTGAACCACACACACTATCAGAGTGGAACACTCACGGAATTCCCTTCGCTGTGTTCAGCAAAATAATATAAATACGATCATTCCATACTCTTGAATAATTATTATGCCTAATTGTTACTGTTACAGCTACAGAAAGCCGTAGGTCCAGAAATAACGAAGACGGATCTTGTTCCGGCGTTCCAAGTGCTTTTGAAAGATACGGAAGCCGAAGTGAGGGCCGCTGCAGCTGATAAAGTTCGTGACTTTTGCCAAAATTTGGACCAGTTTAGTCAAGAGAATATTATCATGACTAATATACTGCCATACGTCAAGGAACTCGTTGCTGACCCCAATCAACATGTCAAATCTGCATTGGCCAGTGTCATCATGGGATTGAGCCCAATTCTTGGAAAGCACAAGTGAGAATTCGCCACTTCAACTTTCTTAAGGCATTGATTGCGTAAACAAGTAATGTCAGGAATAACCATTATTTAGATCTAATTTAGTTTTAGATCTAATTCTTTATGAAAAATTCTTTCTGATCATGTTTTCTCCACAACCACTCATGTCTCTGTTCATTACTGCTTTCACAACAGTAGAACATAAACAATTTATTTTTCATTCAAGTCCCGGTTCTACGATCTTTCTATAGACTGTAAGGATGTTTTTATGAAATTTTTGCCTACAAAAAATGTTCAACAATTTTCGTCCTTTTTCAATGAATGACACGTTGGATGTCAAGCGAAAATTTTCAAGAGGTTTAATGAAAGCCGTCCGTGCGAAAATAGCGTCCCGCTCAGGGACTTTTGGGTAACTGGATCTTCAAATATCGAGCTAGGCTTAAGTTGTGATGGTAACGTGGATGAGATACCCCGTTGTACCATCATCATAGGGTTTCTTAAACCATGATATTACATTCATTTTTCTCTGTTGGCTATGTTCTGTTCGTCTATGAATTAGTCAGGGCCCCTGGCGTGGTTGATCTGACGTAAATAGCTCTACTTCACATACCGTACAACTCACCTTCTCTACGACACCGTACCTCTGGATCACCGCTCGTTACCTTTTCTGCCTACTGAAGATGACGGTGTATATTCAGATCTAGGATAGGCTAGAACTGTAACACTCATTGAGAAATTCCACGCAGCTAAATTTTGACAACCGGGCTTAGAAAAACAAGTAATTGCTTCTTCGGAAACGACAGATTCATTAACAATACTTAGTATCAACATGCATTTCGACGTTTCCAGTAGTCGAAGTTGATGAAAAATTATAGGAATGATTTTTCATGTAATTATTGTAAGAATCCGCTGCTCGAATTTAATATTTTTGTTGCTTGACTCGGTCGGTAAGTCTTACTTACATGCCTATGCCAATTCCGACTTTTCTTAGTTGCCCCCGTAACAAAAACTACCTATATCATGTGATCTGAACAACATCTTCGTGACAAATTCGATCACAATGTACGCCTGATGACAACAACTACTATTTTTACACTTCCAAATACTGAAATGTAAAAATTCCTAAAATAGGCGCTCTTAGTGCGTTTATCTATCATTTGATAGTCATTTGATGAAAAACAACTCGAATCAATTAATTATTACTAATTTTATGACTCTTGGGATTTACGGCTAAATTCGCTCACGCCTTATTTTTTATACCGCTTTTTCTGTGCATCGTCCCGCTGTCGAAGCAGCGGCTAAGACACAGGGGCTAGTCAAGGCTTTGCAATATATGAACTGCGCTTATGATAATTTATTTATTCTAGTTAACAATAAAATAAATTGTATAGACTGAGAATTCAAGATATTATTCTTGAACTAGTGCATTCTGTAAGAATTTCCCGAACTGTTCATCAATATAAAAACATTGCTAAAAGATTGAGTAAATGATCGATATCAATTTTCTGGTAAAAATCAGTTTTTTAGAATGCCGCGAGCTGTAGCGGTAAAATTATTAGGGTTCCAAGTATAAAGGACCCAACGTGATTACAAGGGTTGTCGTATCTTTGTGTGATGGGGGTAACATCGGGAGATAGGGCATGCACGTGATTGGAATGCAAGGGCAAAATAGTGTGAATTTTTATGCACGTGTTTGGACATTTTCTTTATGATTTAAAAAAATGGAATTAAAAAGTGATGGTTTAGATTCAACATTCATTGATGGAAATGAAAGTGCGATGCTCGTGAACTGGAGGGAAAAAAATTCCATCGCCAATTAAAGATTAAATGACATCGATAATGTTTCTGATTGCGAGAAGTTTGGGTAAATGTCTAGTAAAGGTCCACCAAACCATTTTGGACTTTTTTTATTTGGCTGGAGGGATTTCTGTCATTTGATTGAGGATCTGGTGACCTTTTTATCCGGAAACAATTAGTGTGGGAGATATGAAATTTAATACACCGCTTTCCGTATGTCGGCCCGAAAGACACCACATGTTAGCACATTTACAGACAATGGACACACACAAAGATGGATTTATCTAATAGTCCTGAGCACTTCACTAAAACTCTGAATTCACCACGAATTCACCACGAGTGGCTTATCCGCCGCTACTCTTCTGTAGCTATTCAAAATATTGAATGTAATATCACTTCCTCGTCACGTCAACAGCGACAGCAGAGACAATAGAGTTTACCTCATGACTATTTATCGATGTATTTCCCTCCTTGTTTCCCTCTTTTCTTTCGGCATTGTTTTGGACCACTGAGAGGATGAGCATGGTTTTCATTCAAAGAAATTAATATTTCAATGATTTTTATCTGTTGGTGGACCTAAACCATACATTTACCGAACTTTATGCATTTTAATTTAGCATCGAGAGCGGGAAATACAGAAATCAAAAGTTTGAAAATGCATGTCAAGGTCTATTAACAACATGATAATATTTAATAATTTTTTTCAAAACAATATTTTCTTTTCAAGAAATCTATGAATTTGTTTTTTTTTATAAAGTCGATTAAAAATAACTAGTAATCAATCAAAAGCATAACAAGAAAAAAAGCAATAACCGAAAAAACATTTCCATTCGACAAATACAAAATATTTCTATTTTACTTTTCCCACTACAAACTTTCTGTCGAACATCCCCACTACCCTTGCGTACGCGCAAGGCATCATGGGCGCGAAGGGGGTGCAGCCATAAACTTTATGGCTGGGGGCAATTTCGCCTAATGAGGGCAGGGAGCTGCAGTCGCTCTAAGATCTGAGGTTGCCCACGTCCGCTCGTGGGTCGTTTCCAAATTTTTCAATTCCCCGAGTCAAGAAACACCATAACGCATGAAATTCTCACAATATTTTATGTCATTGGGCCCAGAGTCCACGATTCTAACGGCCGGAGCGAGCGTTAGAATCGCGTGGTTCCAGACACCTATTATATAAAATTAATAATAAAATAAAATAAAAATTAATAACGAGTTTTCTTCTATGTATATTATAAAAGAAAATTAGACAACTGAAAATTCATATTTTTTCGTACTCCCATTATCATCGCGTAATCTTTGTGGAAAAGCACTCCGGGCGGTATGACCCACAGACAGAGGCAGTTCTAATCAAACGTTGCTTGCACCAACTGAAAATATTTACCGATAGGGAACATTGTGTTCTCTTGATATTTTGTAGCAAAAGCCGTGAAGAACTCGCTTCCATAGTGAATTGACATTTTTATAATAGGACATTGCAGAAAATTGATCGTTTAATTTAGGTGAATCGTACAGTCCACCGTTTAAGTTTATGAACAAATGTCTGGTATAAAATGTGCAAGAATTTAAGTGAATGACTGTACACCACCCAGATATGATAGAGTTTTTGTCAGACATCGGGCGACGGATCCACACGTCTAAATTCTTTTTTTTTAAAGATCATTCACGTGATTGATTGTCACTGAATCTTTTGTCTTCATTCCAATCGGACGCAAATCACGCCATTCCGAGTATTCCGTCTTCATGAAAGTGTGCACACACTTGGATATTTTCCCTCACATGATACGTGAAGCAAAATTTCGCAACCCTGCATGGTTGGTACACGTTGCTTACAGACTGAATAATCAAAAACATTGTTCGATACACTGCGGTGAAGAACATTCCTGCCTCATATGATTACAGAACTAGCCTTCGACTCGTCTTATAAATTCTTGTTCCCCAGAAAAGTTTTTCAGTTGAGTGTCAGAATGTACTACTTTAAGAACCAACTAAAATGCGGAGACTCGAGCATTTTACGATGCTATTGCAAAAGTTTTCTGGCGTATACATAAAAAATTGATCAACTGTTCCGGGTCCTCGAATAATTTTTACTTTCGTCTTCAAAAAAAGAGTTTAGTGTAACGACCACAGTAATTTTTCAATTATTTTTGGCATGGATCATAAAGCGTGCATTCTCCTCCAAAAGATGATTGTCTCGTTCGGCAGCTATTAGACAAGAATTAATAATAAAATAAATCGCAAATCCTTTGACCGAAGTATCATTCCGGAATGTGGTGAAGCATTGACTACTGTCCGACTCTTCTGTCATGAAAAATACTCGGCGATATCTCGAAAAATCATCATTGATGACAGCGAAACAGCGTGATCAACCAATAGACTCTGTTTGCATTGATCCGCGAACATCAGCATGAATTAATGCTGCCGGTTCTGTTGGTCAATTCGGTTGTGAGTGACAGATTTCTCGATGTTCTTTTCCATACATGCATGCATCGCAGAGTTCATCCTCCACTCGTTTCAATTCCTCTTACTACGAACAGTGGGGCACTAAATGGGTCGCACTTTGGAATAAAAGGTGAACCCTCGAGGCGAGTTAACCGTAACTAGTAACAACAGGTAGTGTCCGGAAGAGAAAAGATCTGATGAATCTCACTTGGTGGGGCCTATTGCGTGGGACTAAATACTGAAGTACACAATGGTTATTAAATGAATAATTAGCGCAAAAAGAGAAAGGAACCCTTAAGTTTCCCTTTAAATAGAATAGAAAAATTAATACAACGCACTTGGACCACAAAAGTAAGAAAGTTCAAAATAAAACCGGTAATACAGGCTGCAAAATGTTTAAGGAAGAAGATCCTCTCGGTACAGGGTTTCGGAAAACTCCGAAAGTATGCTAGCTTCTCTAGCACTGATGGAGTTAGATGATGGCATTGGGTGGCAAAGAACACCCTGAGCTGTACACTCGAGATGCGCTCACTTATATGCTGAGTGATTGACCCTGTCGACACTGGCGGCGAAGAGAAACACCTGAGCTGTCCACTCACAGAAGCCTGTCACGGCAGAGCTACGAGCAAGGTTCCATAGAGTTGACCTCTTTTGGAGAATCACCTAAACCAGGGATGGGCAACCTCTGCTATGAGAGCAAGTCGTCCTCCCGACCTCTATTAGTACATAACAAAGAGTAGACGAAAGCTTATTGTGTCGGATGATGGGCCTTTATGACCCAAGTCGTAAAGAGCCTTCTCCTCGGCTGAAATCAACCAAAGTGGGGGTAACACTTAAGAACAGGAAAAAAGGAGAAATATCGCTGAAGAAAAGGAAAAGCAGGGAAATGAGTCAAAAATGGAAAATGTGGAATTTTCTTCACCATGACATATTTATTAATTTTGAAAGCAGACGTTACGAATGAAATGTAAAGACCAGCTGTTCAATTTCAGAGGCAAGGAACAAATTCGATAATATCATGTTCCAGTGGTCCTGCTGATCCTTTGAAGAAAATTAAAAAAAAATATTTTAAAAAAATATTCCTTTTTTATATTCAGAATCAACATCAGCCAGTCAAAACTGCAATGTTTGGGATTTTTCCCTTGACATATTTTTCGGTAAGGTCGATATTGGACCAAAAATTCATAAAGCTAGCTGAAAGATGTCATCACTTCGGGAAGCTGAATTTGAAGAGTACCTTCATATTTATTTCAATGACCAATAGTTATCTTCATATTCAGAAAAGTTTTTGTCCATGTGTGGATATTTCACTTTCTCTTTATATTAATCACGGCGGCCATTTTCCCCATTTTACCATTTGGCAGAGACGTCATGGGACGCTCTCCAATACGGTGATTGTGAGGCCCCCCACTACTGCCCACACAATGATCGTACTAGGACCCTTATAATTTGCATAGTTATAAACTTTATTGAATTCCTAACTCGAGTTTATGACTCTCCTCCGAGCTACCTGAAGGTTACTCATCCCTGGACTAAACAACAGGCAGGGTGTCACTCGAGAAAAAGATGCCGGAGATTAGAGAGTAGAGGTCAGTCGTCCTAATAGAGGGTGGTCCCGCAGAGATGCTTCCTCGTAGATGTATCTTGAAGAATCAGCTGAACGAGCAGGGCACCAATCTGAATTAATTCAGGCTGAGGTGGGGATTCGTTGAAATAGTACAGACAAGCTGGTGTACCGATAAGAGTTGAGCTGTCCATTCGGGCTAGGGGTCAATCGTAGCAGACGGTCGTCCCGCAGGACTGCTACCTTGTAGACGGATGTTAGCCAATCGGCTGGATGAGCAGGGTACCACTTGGAAGATGAGAGGCTGGAGACTCAATTTAGACTGACTTAATTTGACGAAAAACCGCCCTTTATATACCTTTCTGGCGTGACACTTCTATGACCATTAACGTTTTGATTTTCGGATGCCCGATGTCATATACAGTGGACAATTTGAGGCTGACATGTCCCCTGCTTGAACAGCAAGAAATCACCTCGTCAATTGTGCTAATTTCTGTAAGCCATCTCATAATTTTCGTTGGATATGGGGTGCTGGTGACGTCATAGTCCTAACCCCCTGGAACCAATAAGGGACGCATTAGGAGCAGATGTACCCGTATTGGCCTGCCTTTCCTTTTGTCCATGTCGGGGAACCCGCTGTTGAGATCGTCCATTTCTAAGTTGCCGACATCTTTTCTTCTTTGGGACTATTCCTATCTGTCGTTACAATCGGAGGGTTGTTTAGTCGGAGGGTAGTTTAGTGACCCTCTTATTCGAAAGGAAAAGAATACCGCTAGAAATGCCTTTGGACAACTGTGTGGCTTCTTCTAGACGATTCGTGGTTTCCAGGTGTTGTCCTCTTCATTTTTACGCCGTTTAAGGAATAACGATCACCCATCGAGTACCTGCCTGATAGTCTCTTTTATCGGAATCACTTCGCATAATCGATATTGAGGCTGGACATACGGACATTCCATATTATTATGTGGAGTTTGCCCCAAATTTGTCTCCTTTTGTGTTGCGTTATACCAAGTTTTTCTTCATATAAGAAGTTAATCGTAGCACCTCCGGAGCACTCGTGTCTTCAGGACTTTTCCACGTGCCTTTTTCCCTGTTGATCTAAACATTCATGTGACAATTGCAGTATTTCAGTCGATGAAGCCACGTGAATCTCTGCATTTCCTCTGCCACAAGCACTTTCATATTCACAGCATACAGGCCTTTTCACGCCTGCTGGAACTACATCCCAAAAAACTCTTGAATTCAAAATACTCACCTGGAAGAGTTGACGTAATTCGACTGGTCAGCAATCATTTCGGCATTTCAATATTACGGATGTTTTTTAATTCATCGTTCAGTTCATGGAAATTCCTCTCCAGTCCACTAATGCGCGTTTTATTACTCTCAGTATTTACTCTGTCATCCCTGAAAGACTGTTCCAACAATCTATGAAAACGCTGATCTGAACTCCCGTCGTAAGTACAAGTAAGCTTATCCCATGTTAGTTTCACTACATCAGAAGTCGACGTAATATTAACATATCGGTTGAGGTTCTCGACGACAATTAAACGAGTTAGCGTGTCGAGTTTGTGATATTTCCTTCGTTCCGTATTGTAGTCAGCTGTTCGCGCTAGCTCTACTCAAGCAGGCAGTTGGTCCGACCCCTTCACTCGCCTTGTTATGACATCAAGAACGTGGTGACGTAGCAGCAACACCTGTCTCTTTTATCTGGTCCAGTTCGCAGCACCCTCCAACCTCTCAATTCAAGCTTTAAAATCCAGCGCTGACATCTTATAATCCACGGCTTCGGACCCATAACCTGTTGAGATTTTAATATAAACCCAGGAACACAATTGCCAGTTTACAATAGAATGTAATTTAGCGTCCTCAGAATCAATGGAACATAATCAGACACTTTTTTTCAACATATTTAATCCTCTGGGTTCACATAGTATCTAGTTGATTGTCGCTTGAGTCAATCTGTAAAAATTTAGAAAAAAAAAACATTTTTTCCAAATTTTTTAGTTTGACCCCTTTTTGGGCGAAGCATAAAAGTCAGAAAAAAAAATGAGGTCAAAGTGAATAATATTCATCGCCACTCTCATGTTTAGCGAGTTTATCCCTATATTTTTAAATCAAGATCTTTTTGGCACATATAAGTTTCGAATTCATGTTTCCATCAGCTCTCAGAGTGTAATTTGAAAAATCTGAAGATCATATTTCTAAACGGCGAAACTGAACTGATCTACTATATTGGTATATTGTCTATGTTGAGTGTGTACAGGGATCGAAAGGATTTTATCCTGTTTCCCCTCCATGATGGCTTATATTTTGCAGAGCAAATCATATAATTCTAATTGGATCTCTATTTTGATTACTTCCCGCCAAAACAAGGACGAAAAGACCCTCTTCCATCTTCCAGAATTGTCTTTATTTTTTTTTTAATATACTTTCATATTTTTCAGACATATTTTCATTATGTAAACCTGCACTGAAAGTTCATATAAAAAAAGCAATTTAGATAATTATATAAAAATAATCTAGCCAGGCTTTAATTGAATTGATGTGAAATTTAAAGAAAAATTTTACAGCACAATTGAACACCTGTTGCCACTATTTCTTCTGCAACTTAAAGACGAGTGTCCAGAAGTTCGTTTAAACATCATCAGTAATTTGGATTGTGTAAATGAAGTTATTGGTATTCAACAACTTTCACAATCACTTTTACCTGCAATTGTGGAGCTGGCTGAGGATTCAAAGTGGCGAGTACGATTAGCAATCATTGAGTAAGTGGTAATTCAATTCGAAATAAATTGTTTCATTGTAAAAAATACTTATTGTAATGTTGACAAGCCCAAACTTGGATGGCTTGCTAAAAAAAAGGATGAGTATATTGTTTGAGCATCGAAATAGATTCGTGTCCTATTGTTTAATCAATGTTTGACTTTTAGACGCCTTGATTCGTCCTTTTAATTACAATTATAGTGAAAGTGCCTAAAATTTTTATGATGAAGATCATAGAACAAAAATAAAAGAATACCGAAAGGCCAGAATTTTATTTTATTTTTATTACTATAATTTTCAGATACATGCCTCTATTAGCAGGTCAACTTGGTGTAGAATTCTTCGATGAAAAACTTAATTCTCTCTCAATGAACTGGTTAGTGGATCACGTTTACGCAATACGAGAAGCCGCCACTTTAAATTTGAAGAAGTTAGTTGAAAAATTCGGACCGGAGTGGGCACAGAACACCATAATCCCAAAAGTTCTCAACATGTCCAGGGATCAAAATTATCTTCACAGGATGACTTGTTTATTCTGTATCAACGTATGTCTCCAACGATTTTTTTATTTCTTGAATTCAATTTGTTGATGTAATTTCAATTATTATAGTTATTATTCAAAGTTTGACATCATTTATCCTGGAAAATGTATGACTGATAGTATTATAGGGGTAATATAATGGCAGGGCCATCGTTTAAAGTTAAAAAAATCGTAAACAAAAAAAATATTCCAAAATTATCAAGCACCATGACAATTCGGCAACCAATTTCACTGAAATACATTGACACATAGTTATTATATACATAAGGCTTTTTCTGTCAGTTTTATAGACGTTATTATTCATTTCAAGAAGGATGCCACGTTTATTTTTAGCATTGTGCCGCCGTTTTGCAAACATTCCCATCTCTATATCTCCAGCTAACCAGATGTTTTATTTGAATAGCTGATCAATTAAATTCGCTGGACCCTCTCTTTACTTCCCTCTTTATCTGTCGCCACACACAAAGGAAGAAGGCTAGAAGGACTAACTTTAAACTTCGACGCTCAGAATCGAAGATTACTGTTCTGAAGATGTAGACCAGGCATGGGCAAAGTGCGCTCAATCGGCTCACCTAGCTCCCAACCTCAATTAGGCCAATGACTATAAAATAAGGGGTCCTATTGTACCGTGCAGGTAGTCGGAGGGGCGAGACCACGATGCTTGGGTCAGAGTGGGGGAATCGTTAGGTCAGTCAACGCGCAAAAATTTGAATTTTTGAACGAAAAATATGCATATTTTTCTTGCTGCATTTTGCATTGTTAAAAAATATCAATTAATCAATTTTCCCTCTATTAACTTCCGCATAAAATTCCGTTGAATAAATTACTCTGAATTGAATATTTCGGCAGCAAATTAATTGAAAAAAACTGTTGAAAAGATTTTTTAATTTTTGTTAATACAAGATTTGTTCCAATATGAATATTGAAAGAATAAATAGATTCATACCAAAAATGGAGTTAAAAGAATCCATTCATACAAATTATCTGAGAGAAATTTCCTTGCAGAACTTTCATCGTAAAATCATTTAGAGTTGTCTTCTTTGGCTCATATATCGGCAAAAAATAAGAAAAATTGATTAAAATGTAAGGAAAAATCCCATTCGTTTCAAACCCAGAGCTTTCTGTGAGACATTTCTATAAAAAAAAACTTTTAACTCCATTTTTGGTATGAATCTGTTTATTCTTTCAATATTCATATTGGAAGAAATCTTGTATTAACAAAATTTTGTATTAACAAAAATTAAAAAATCTTTTCAACAGCTTTTTACAATCACAAACTTGTACAGGTTTCATAGAAATCTAATACAGTTCCAATAGAATGGATTTTTATTGAATTTTACACAACTGACATCTCATTTTTTTCCAATTTTTACTAAAATAATTATTCAATATTAAGGTAGCTAAGAAATAATCAATTTCTGGCACCACGATGTTTGAATCATTACCCCCGATACAACTGAGGATTTACCACGTTGAATTGGTGAAAATTTGTTTGAATTTTTAGGCGGTAAGGTTTATAAAATTTGAAAGGAAAGCGCGTGGTGCTCTCTCTGTCTAACTGCGCCCCACTTCGTATACGCTGCTACTCCCACCCTGACTACGCTGGGCTCCACGCAATTGGGGTATTGTATTTCTAATAATGGGTCTAATAGTGTTTTATGGCCCCGGCTTCCGAGGATCCGACTTTGCCCATGCCTGATGTAGACTATAATGCTTCGCAAACGTAGGCGCAATGTTGAAATTGAACGTCTGCTTCACTCCAAAAAGGATTAATTATTGGCACTAAGCGGCGTTTAATGCCTTTGAATGCATTAAAAATCATAGAATCATGGGCAAATAATCTGAAGATTAAGAATACTTACGTCACTCTTGTATCTTTAAATTTTTTCAAATTGAAGTCCATGGTAAAATTCATTTAACGCGTAGAAAAATTTTTTCTTGCCATTTACCAAATATTTTACATGGCGTTTGCTAGTTATAAAATGTAAAAATAAAAAAAAGGAAGCTTATCTTTCTCATAATTTTGGATGTCGGAACGACTATTTCAACCGCAGTGTAGAAGCACGAGGTCTTGTTAAGAGTTTGTATGTTCGCAAGCCATGACTTGTCAGTACGGTTCAAAATCTCACTTTTTTATATCTATATGCATACTCGCATTATCTCAAATACCTTAAGAACTCACTCGAGGAATTGATGAATTGATTTTCTAGGTCCTAGCCGAGGTTTGTGGGCCTGAAATAACAACAAAAGTAATGCTTCCCACTGTTCTTGCAATGGCAAATGACAATGTGGCTAACGTAAGGTTTAACGTCGCTAAAACTCTTCAGCGTATTGGACCTTATCTGGAACCAAGCTCAGTGCAAACACAAGTAAAACCCGTACTCGATAAATTAAATACTGACGCTGACGTTGATGTTAAGTATTTCGCTTCCGAGGCTATTGCCGGAATTGCAGGTAAAGGTGTATTAAAAATTTAGAAATTAATTTAATAGTATCAAATTTAAAAGCATTGCATATTCTGCAGAGTTTGATAAGTTTTGAAAGAATATACATTTAAAGTTCTCTCAGATTATACATATTTTTGTCCGCACTGGTCTATCGTACAAAAATGACATTCTACAATTTTTCTCTAAATTGAATATTTCAAGATACTTAGTCACATTTCCAAATTTCAGCCAATGGAATTGCACCATTCAATGAGGCTACTCGCTATTATACCTACTGATCATTTTTCGACTATTTGGTCGGTTGCTATATGAAACACAAAATTGTTGGATTGAGTTAACCACTGATTGAATTTATAGATTGAATTTTTTTATTTTTCAAGTATTTCCTTATTTTTCCAATACGGACTTCATCTCGTGGTACAACTCTATCAGCTGAAATTTAAACGAAAAAATTGATCGGATATTTCCCTATAAGTTTCCTGCAAACAAACGAGCTTCTTAGATCTTCTAAAAAAATGACTCGTGTTTCGCGCTCGTGATTTTTCAACCTGGAAAACGTAGCACGTTCATTTGTTTCCAACAATCTGAAAATATCGGTTAATTTCAAAGCTCTAATGGTATTATAAGTGATCATTTTTTAATATTATTTCTTAATTACCCAAATTTTTCTAATAATATTTTTTTTTCAGCGTAGGTTAATGGTGTTTCCGATGGCATTTATTCCCGAATGATGAAATGATATATCGTAAAAATAAAACGAAGAGAAAAAACACGAAATGTTAAATGTGAAGAAAACACTAAAAATCAGAGAAGAATTTGATCACGAGGCAAATGCATTACAGTTAATAACGGTTGGTCTTTTCACGATATCCACTTGGCAAAAGTTAAAAATAAGCACTTGAAAAATTACTTTTGACAAACTATCAAAAATAAGGAATAATTAATAAAAAAATACATGACTAACATAAAGTGCCCACAATGAAAAAAAGAGTAGTCATTTAGGATTAGTCGTTTGCGTTAACCAATATTTCAAAAGAAAGAAGAAAGGACAAAAAATTACTTTGTTATAATCTGTATATCTCTAACATTATACCAAGTATTGATTTTAGTGATGTTCAGCGAAGATCCTATATCTTCGTATAATAATTAGCCGTCTCTAATCGTTAAGGGATTTATTACGAGAATGGCCTGCGATCATTCCCCATCATCTTGCTTGACTTGTAACGAAAAAAAGTTTGGATGTTAACATTAACAAAATTGGTAATTGTCAAATTTTTCTGTAAAAAAAAATAAATAAAATTTCTTCTTTGCGTAAAATGATCTTTCAGACTTATTTCATCACCAGACTCCGAACGCGCGTATGACAATGTGTCTTCTATCACAGATTATAAATCTGTAAGATTATACTGCTAACAGTATATTGTGCACCAAGCGAGGAAAATAGAGCATTCTAACCCGCATGTGTATTACTGACCTGAGGCTTCGCCACGCGTGTTTGAATGTCTTGTTTCCCTTTCCCGGCGCATATTGTGCTTTCTGCCATCACTAAATGGAGGAATGTGGGGTATGTCATTCCGGAGATCCTCAAAAACAACAGAAATTGAAGGGATAGAATGACTAATAGAATCACTTTCTTCCCGTGATTCGGGCAGTGAAATCGACCTTTCCGTGTAGTTATGACGGAAAAAATTACTTCTGAAATTGTAGAGAAACTCCTTAGAATGTTCATGGCCCGAGTGGAAGGATTTTCACCCAGCAAGTCCCTAGAAAATTCCCTAGAAAAAACGTGATTTACGGGGACATAAATGCCAGCCCCTGTAAATCCTCAACAAATGTCATCTTAGGGTCGATAAATAGATAATTATTTTTGCGGGGCCGTTAATTAGGTCTCAAGGGTGGGAAATTGAGAAATTCACCAAGGCGAATTCCCCAATGATCGTTTGGGGAAAAATATGGCGGCTCAATCACTTCGACAAAAAAGCACTCCCCACATTTTACACATCCACTTTTCACTCGCGACAACCAATTACCGGCCCGTGAACATAATTATTATATTTTTTGCGATTTTCTCCGGAAAGATCCGATGGCCTGAACGTCCGTAATTTATGTTCGCGAGAACGAAGTGATCAGCTGTCATTTTTAGTGACACTAAGGTTAGGTAGATGGTGATAGTGGGGCCTCTCAATCTCAGAGAGGCAAAAATGAGTTTCACGGCAGAAGTGATCAGGAGCGTACGAAGGAGGGGCCCTTTTGGGGGGATAATTTTAGCATACACATAAATGTGGTTGAGTGGGAAAATTGCTAATTTAGGGGTTAGATAGATGCGTGAGGGTAGAGCATGGGTGTAAGAATAAAACTGGAATTGAGAAAGGGGTATGTGCATAAACATGGCTTTTATAGACAGGGTTGAGGGTGAAATGAAAAAATGAAAATGGGATGGATGCTTTGACGAAAATTGGAAGGTTTTAGAGGGAAGGGAGAGGTTAATGAAGGGGTAAAAATCGGAGTGAGAGTGAGAAGAGATGAATAATAGAATGCTCTCGGGTCAAATGGGGGGTTTTTCCAACCTTACTAGCCCATTTCCACGATGCCCGAAGGGGTAAAAAACATGTCTTTACAAGTATATCTAAATTGATTCAGAGGATGATTTTCAATCGATTTGTGCCTATCAATTTCGATCCTATTTTTTCACCCTCACTAGGCCATTTCCAAGATGGCTAAATGGTTAAAAAGAATACCTCTATAGATGTGGGTAAATCGACTCAGAGGGGGATTCTGAGTCGATCTGTACCTATAAATTACAACCCTATTTTTTCACCTTCGGGAACTTATTTGCAGGATTGCCGGCGGGGTTAAAAAAAAGGTTTCTACAGATGTATGTAAATTGATTCAGGGAATGATTCTCAATTGACTTGTGCCTATCAATTTCGACCCTATTTTTTAACACTCACTAACCATTCAATAAATATCAGTCGAATATATTCACCTTCACTATCCCATTTCCAAGATGGCGGACGGGATTCATTCTGGTTTGAGAATCGAGTGAGTGGACGAAATGGGGCGTGATGATGAGATGACTGTGTCACAGTGAAATTGGGCTTGATGGTTGGATGAGCGCATTGGAAAAACTGAGCGGTTGAGGTAGGGATGACTGTGTGAGGGTGAAATGGAGGTTGATGGAGGATTGAGTGCAGGGCAAAAAATGAAGGGTTGTTGCTGGGATGAGCGTCTCGGGATGAAACGGGGGGTTGATGCTGAGATGAGTGTATCAGGTTCAAATGGGAACTAGAGCTGGGATGACTGTGTTACGGTGAAATGGGGACTGATGATGCGTTAATTGCAGGGCAAAACATGAAGGTTTTTTTTTAATGCTTATTTTACATCGCTTCGAGTTGGAGGAGACTATGTGGCGATTAAGGCTTTCTTTAATCCGGGTTAGATCTCACCAGTCTATCCGGCCATGAAACGAACGGGGAACCTATTCATTGTGAGGCAATGACCTTAACCACTACGCCAGGCCACCAACAAGAAAGAAAAAAAGGGTTGAGTCTGGGTTGAACGAGTCAGGGTGAAATGGAGGGTTGATGCTTGGACCGTGTTGTAATGAGATCAATAGGTCAGGGCGAAATAGGGGCGGATGAGGGGGGGGGGGGGTGTTGTGGTATAAGTGCATATGAAAAATGAAGTATTGTCACTGGGAAAAATTCATTGCGAAAAAAAAGGTTGATGTTGGGATGGGTGCATAGGAAAAATGATGAGCTAAGGCTGGGCAAATCCTTCGGTGATGAAGACTCTCCTTCCGTCTATTTAAATATCAGCACAAAATGGACGGCAATAAAAGCGAGGCCCGTTCGCAACCCCACTTTGATATATCACTCTGGTTCGCTGCTTTTTCCATAATTACTGTAAGAGTTATCGCCGGAATAAAGCGGTTTGCTCCGACCGCAAGTTGGAAAAACGTTAAATTGCTGCTCAAAAAAAAAATTTACAGGTACAGAACAACTCGGAATCACCCCCTGGGTCGATCTATATACACTTGTAAAGAGATTTTTCATTGACCGTGTCGCCATCTTGCAAAGCGAGTAATGAGTGCGTAATAACGGGGTTGAAATTTATTGGTGCCAATAGACTCAGAATCATTCTCCTAGTCCCTTTATATATACAGACATTTTCTATGATCCCGTCGGCTATTTTGGACATCGGCTGATGATAGTGCGACAATGGGGTTGAAAATGTTTGATACCGATCGACTCAGAATCAAACCCCAAGTCCATCTACATGCATTTGTAGAGACCGTGTTTTATAACCCCGTTGATCATCTTGAAAAGGGGGGGAGTGAGGGTAGGAAAATAGGGTTGAATTGTCCAGGGGGAGATCAGGTATGGTGACGTTTTTTATGACCTTGTCGGCCACTTGGGAAATGGGGTTGTCAAGGTGTAGGTTACTTGTGGGATGAGTGTGTCAGGGTTTTTTTCAACGGGGGTTGAAAAAAATATAGATTTGATTTGGACGCGGTTGACCTATTTATCTCTGCCTCAAATCGTTATTTTTTGTCATGCATTTATCCAATGGTCAATCCGCACTTCACCCTGACACACTCAGCCCAACCTCAAGTCATCATTTTTTCCCCGGTAGTTATCCCACCATCAACGTATCTTTTCACCCTAACATACTAATCCTAGCTTGACCCTCATTGGACCCTGACATTCATTCCCGCCTAAGCCCCTCATTTCACTCTAATACAGTCATTCCAGCCTCAACCCCCATCTCACCCTAATACACTCATCCCAGGCTCAATCTCCCACTTGAGCGTGACACTCATTCCAGTTTTCGCAGTTCTTCACAAAAATGAAGACGTCTAGTAAAAAATGTTCTGAGGAACCAATCAATGTCGACGTTTTACACTATCCTACGTCGATTGAGCTATCATTTGCACAACAGTTTTTCCCCCATTTGTTCAATAATATTTCAATTTGTCAACAAAAAGAGAACCGTCCAATAGAAGTTTTGGATGGGCAAATAAATTTCGACAATTCACATTATTTTGAGTCAATTGAGTCTAAATTTACAAAACAATTTTTCCCCTTCTTTGTTAACCATTTTTATATTTGTTAATAACAATGAAGCATGCCAACTACAATTGGAAATGAATCATCACGAGGGAACGCTCAATTTGGATATTGCAGACAATTTTCTACCATTCAGACATAAATTTGCAAACGATTTTTTTTTTGTCCCGTAGAGATGAAATTCTCTCAGCCCTAGGAACAACAGAATTACCCATAAATTTTTCATTCAACATAAAAAACAGATGAAAATTTTTTGGGGGGCCCTCTTAAGCCCCACTGTTTCCCCACTGAGTCTCAATCCAGAGGACAAAAAAATCGTTTGCAAATTTATGTTTGAATGGTAGAAACTTGTCTAAAACATCCAGATTGGGCGTTCCTTCGGAAACATTTTTTTCCAACTGTAGTTGGCAGGCTTCACTATTATTAACGAACATAAAAATTGTTAAAAAAGAGCGGGAAAAACTGTTTTGTAAATTTAGACTCAATCAACCCAGAATAATGTAAAACGTCGAAATTTATTAGTCCATCCAAAACTTTTTTTGCAACAGCTTCATCTTTCTTAACAAATTCCGAATTTGTTTAACAAATTGTAAAACTTTGTCATTTAAATAAATACTTAAACGGTAGACAATTGCATGAAACGTCGAAATTTATTGTACACTCAGAAACTTCTATTTGACGGTTTCTTGTTGTTGACAAATTTAAATATTATTAAACAAATGGGAGAAAAACTGTTTCGCAAATGATGGCTCAACCGACGTAGGGTAGTGTAAAACATCGAGTTTGATTGGTTCCTCAGAACATTTTTTATTCAACGTCTTAATTTTTGGAAAGAAATGCGAAATTCGTTGAACAATTAGGAGAAAAATCATCGCGCAAATTCATTGTCCAACGATTGAGATTCGCCTGAAACGTGCAGATTTGTTGATTCCTTATGGAACCTTTTTTTTAAAACGGCGTCATCTTAACAAATTAAAAAATCGGTAAACAATTAGGGAAAAAATTTTGTCATATTAAATTTCAATTTAGATTAGGCCCAACTGACTGAAAATAGTGTCGAACGTCGAGATTTGTTGGTCCCTTGGAGCTATAAAATGCAACCCTATTATTCCAACGTCAAGGGTTGGCAAGGGCAAAAGAGAAGTCTCTACACGTATATATAATAATTATGTATTTATGTAATTATGTACAATTTAATAGGTGCAGCTGGACTCAGAATCACCCATGAGTCGGTCTGGACTTTTTAAA